TTAAACAGTTTACAAGCATGAACATTTCCCAATCAACTGTTGTTAATGTTATAAACAGCCTACTGGTGCTTCGGAGCTCATTAACTGTTTAATAATTGTAAACAAAGCCGCCAAAGGTTGAGAAAAGATGGACAGGTTCGTAAGTGCTTGCGTAACTGCTTCGTGAATCTGGCCCCAGGTCCCTCACACTCCGCTTGGCCAGGTGTCAGGAACACACAAGCCTGGGTTCAGCCACTCCCAACACTGACTACTGCCTCACTGCTTCACCTACTTAAACTATTAAGGTAAATCAGTCCGTCCTCCTAAGGTCTCCCAACGTCAAGAAAACGGTACATTTAAAGTGTCCTCTCCTAACCTACCTGAGGACATGAAACAGAAAACGGGACAGTACGTCACTTTCGCCAGCCGCTTCTATTTTCTTGTACGACAATTTTTGGCCGTATGTAACGCATACGATCGAAATGCGACGTTCTTTGTAAGAGGACAGGTTGGGTAATTAGCCGTGATAATTATTTTTTCCCAGCTCTTTTTCCTTCCCATTTTTACCTCTAAGTTAGTTTATTTCATTTATTATGCACCCCATACCCATCTTGTGGGGGGTAGTGGAAGGGGTTACAGAGGCACATAATGGGCTCAGGGACTGAACCCCACAATTCATTTAGCTAAGCAAGTTACAATCTTGATGAGCTAGTTACAAAACTCAATAAAAGTCGTCACATCATCAATGGGTTCGAGATCGACCTCAAGTACAGGTTCTAAATTAAGCAACTGACATATGTGGAGATCTAGTGTCACAATTTTTACATCTAAAACGTCTAAATAGACATCTTAATGGTCTATAAACATGGGAATGTATTGATGTTGGCTCTTTTATCTCTTAAGGGTGACAAGTCTTCTTTCAGCTTATGAACGAATCCACAAGGGCCGTGACGAGGATTCGAACCTCGTTCTTTTTTTCAGCCTCTAAGTTCTTTTGTTCTTCTTTCAGCTTCTTTGCATTGGCTAGTTATAAAATACATTATGACTTGTGTTGTTGTCTCTCTTTTGTTTTGTTCCCAGAGTATTCTCTTAACAATTCTCTAACCTTCTCGTACTCACCATTATGGAACGTTAGTTTCCTACTCCCCTCTTCTCTTCCTCTTGGCACAGCCTTCATAACAACTACGTACTCAAAAGATTAGTACTCAATGGCCACAACTGCCTCCCCCCCCCCCTCCAATGTGGCATTTCATGCTCAATGTTCTCAATGTCTATTTCACTTTCCGTTCAATCTTGCTGGTTGGTCACTCCCTCGTCTTTGCGTTTCCTCACTAACAAACATATTAGGGATGTGTTTCAGTCGATTTAGGCAGCGTTTGGGATGCTCTCGGACGTAGGTTCGAATCCTCGTCACGGCCCTTGTGGATTTGTTCATATTAGGAAGTTTCTTTCTGCAACTTCTACCACTTTTGCTCATCATGTTCCTCCCCTCCCCCCTTGGTCCATTGATTCCCAGTCAATTTGTCCACGATTGAAATCTCCAATTACTAGTAGCTTTCTGCTCAATCAAAAGGATAACTCAGCCTCACTTTCTGTATGATATTTATACAAAATCTGTTTGTATTCTCGTATTCTTGTTTGGGGGTCTTCTATGATTCTCTGGGAAAGGTTATCTTGAGGTTATCTTGAGGTTGTCTTGATAGTGTACATTACACCCACAACCATTTCTTCCTTCCACTGAGACGATTCCTACGACTCCACTGAAAATTATTTCTTTCCACTGAAATTGCGTGTGCATGCACAAGTGTGCGTGTGGACGCGTGAGTGCGTGTGGCGAGTAACGGAAGTAACCAGGTCCCGTTACTCACCACCACCACCTGTCTACTTCTACCTTTATCTACTTCAAACCTCTTCTTATATTTATTTTATCTACCCTTATCTATTGAAACAGCCATTTATGCTGTCTATACCTACAGTTATCTCATCGTTGTATCTATCTTCCTTCAGCACTCTCTTAACTGCCGCTCCACCTTAAAATCAATTTTTAGGTAGACTTTCAGGTTCATATCCCTGTTTACTCTTCCCTGGAACAACCGAGTCCTTTTATGGGACCCCTTCCTTCAAGTCCTTTTATGGGACCCCTCCCTACAAGTCCTTCCCTTAGGACCCCCTCCCTTCAAGTCCTTGTTTAACTTGCGCGCAAGTTAGTTTTGATTTTAATTCAGTTCTGTAAATATGCAGGTCATAGCCATTCTAGGAGAGGCTGTGAACCATGTTAGAGATGTAAACACAGTGCTATGTACCCTCACAAACATAATGTACCTTTTTGTATATAAATAAATAAAAAATGTACGATTGCTGAAACAGTCAGAACTTTTTTAGTGTCAGAGTGGATGACAAATGGAATGCATTGGGAAGTGATGTGGTGGAGGCTGACTCCATACACAGTTTCAAGTGTAGATATGATAGAGCCCAGTAGGCTCAGGAACCTGTACACCAGTTGATTGACAGCTGAGAGGCAGGACCAAAGAGTCAGAGCTCAACCCCCGCCAGTACAAATAGGTGAGTACACCAAGATAAGTTGCTACGGAACTTCCTTTCATAAACAACTATCTTAATTGGAAGGTCAAACAATTCTTGTGTTCAACAAAACATCGCTCATCTGTTTATATTCATAATGTTATAAATTCATGGTAAGGAAATAGCTATACCTGCTTTAAGCTTTTAATATTTGTTTACATAAGTTATAGCTGAGAATGTCTGCTTCCAGCTCTTGTTATAGAAAATGGTTACTTTCGTTTTAAGCAATACTAAACAATTTATTAAATTCTTGATTTTTTTTTTATTTTTTTACCTGAGGCTTACCATCTCTCTAGTGGCCTCGACGGGGGCTATGAAGTCGGCGGTTTGTCAACGGTCACCACATTTTTACCAGGGATTTTTTCCAACTGAATTTTGAACTGTAGTAATGCCTTGCTACCTACGGCTTCAACGGGTAGGCGGTTCCATGGGTTTATAACCCTGTGGGTGAAACAGTATCTCTTCTTTTCTGCCCTCTATTGTGACTTGTTGAGCTTGAGGCTATTGCCTCTTTTGTGTGTTACATTTGACCTTTCAAAGAAATAGTCTGGATTAAAATCCTCTTAATATGTTCAGTATTTTAAAGATGTGGATGAGCTCAGCCTTGTCATGTCTGGTTTGTAGTAATTACCTAAGTGTAGTTACAGGATGAGAGCTACACGCTCGTGGTGTCCCGTCTTCCCAGCACTTTTTGTCATATTGCTGTTAGTCCCGTGAGCCTCAACCTTTCCTGGTATGAGAGTCGACTTAGTTCCTCGATGATTTTTGTTGCTGTGTTGAACTTTCTCCGAAGTCGATAAGTCCTTTTGAAGTCAGAGATTCGTTTGACTATTCCTATAGTTTGACATTTTTGTTGTTTGCAGCTCTCACCTTTTTGTTCAACTTCCAGTAACTAGTGGATCTTAAGTCCTAGGTCCTAACACACAGAAATCACGATTGCGTGATGCATCAAATGAACAAATCCACAAGGGCCGTGACGAGGATTCGAACCTGCGTCCGAGAGCATCCCAGACGCTGCCTTAATCGACTGAGCTACGACATGGTAAAACCCTGGTTTGTGTCTCAGACGCTGCAGGATCCAGTAAGTTCAGTAGAATTTCGGTTTCAACTCCTTTTGACCATGTCGTAGCTCAGTCGATTAAGGCAGCGTCTGGGATGCTCTCGGAGGCAGGCTCGAATCCTCATCACGGCCCTTGTGGATTTGTTCCTAGGTCCTTTTCTTCATCAATCATCTGCAGTGTTGTTGATTTGATACTTGTGATGAGTATTGTTATACTCAACATGCAAGGTCGTGCATTTTCAATATGTTACTGAAGAGGACTTGTCTGTCTTCCGACCATTTGAGTTCATGTCGATCTCTTTGCAAGACCTCATTATCGTTTTCAGTTTTGACTCTACAATAAAACTTCACCTGCAAATCTGAAGATGTGGCTTATAATATTGATATGCGTGTCCTTGATGTACAGTATATGACATAAAGGGTTGGCGCCAAGAAGGATCCTTGGGGTACTTCCCCTTATCCCCCTAACTAACTATCCCCTTAACTCAGGTACTCTACTCACCACATTTCTCCAGACACTCGTTTCCGCTTAGGATAACTCTTTGCTTTCTTTGTTTTAACCATTGCTTTATCCATTCTAGTAGTCTACTGTTTATTCCACGTGCCTGTAGTTTCCTTCCCAGTCTTTCATGTGGTACTGTATCAAACGTATGGATTCCCTAAGGTTGAAGTCAGAAAGTCTCGACAGTTCTTCGAGGTACTGACTGGACCAGAGTTCGATTCCCAGACCCGTGGAGTCGAACTCGGGGTCTAGTCGGTTGTAAGCCAACTGAAGAAGCTCCGTTTTGTTATATATATAACTGTGACTCAGTTCTATTTCTAAGGGGAACTTGGCCAGTTCCCCTAAGAATCTTGTATGTCGTTCTCACGTCTCCACAGTTCCTCACTTCCTCCTGTGTGGTGACCTCCAGTAGGTTCATTATGACATAATATTCCTATCCTACTGCCGTATTGGTGCATGTTTATATACGTAATCTATTCCTCTCGAGATGTTTTAGTCATTCTATCCTTATTATTCCAGGTAGTGCTTTACAAGATATGCCTATAAGGGACACTGGTCTGTAGCTACGTGCCTTCTCTCTCTCTCTCTCTCTCTCTCTGTCTCTCTCTCCACTTTCTTGGATATCAGTATTTTGTCATCTTCCAACTTTTGGGCAACTCTTCCCAGGCGGCTTCTTTCAACATCTATATTGTTGCCCTATTTCAATATTTCAAAATCCAAATTATGCGGGATGCATCATAGAGGTTCTGAGGGCTCCTGGTGTTACCAGACGCACCAGAGAGGTTCTGAGGGCTCCTGGTGTTACCAGACGCACCAGAGAGGTTCTGAGGATCCCTGGTGTTACCAGACGCACCGGAGAGGTTCTGAGGGTCCCTGGTGTTACCAGACGCACCGGAGAGGTTCTGAGGGGCCCCTGGTGTTACCAGACGCACCGGAGAGGTTCTGAGGGGCCCCTGGTGTTACCAGACGCACCAGCGAAGTTCTGAGGGCCCCTGGTGTTACCAGACGCACCAGAGAAGTTCTGAGGGCCCCTGGTGTTACCAGACGCACCAGAGAAGTTCTGAGGGCCCCTGGTGTTACCAGACGCACCAGAGAAGTTCTGAGGGCCCCTGGTGTTACCAGACGCACCAGCGAAGTTCTGAGGGCCCCTGGTGTTACCAGACGCACCAGAGAAGTTCTGAGGGCCCCTGGTGTTACCAGACGCACCAGAGAAGTTCTGAGGGCCCCTGGTGTTACCAGACGCACCAGAGAAGTTCTGAGGGTCCCTGGTGTTACCAGACGCACCAGAGAAGTTCTGAGGGCCCCTGGTGTTACCAGACGCACCAGCGAAGTTCTGAGGGCCCCTGGTGTTACCAGACGCACCAGAGAGGTTCTGAGGGCCCCTGGTGTTACCAGACGCACCAGCGAAGTTCTGAGGGCCCCTGGTGTTACCAGACGCACCAGAGAAGTTCTGAGGGTCCCTGGTGTTACCAGACGCACCGGAGAGGTTCTGAGGGCCCCTGGTGTTACCAGACGCACCAGAGAAGTTCTGAGGGCCCCTGGTGTTACAAGACGCACCAGAGAAGTTCTGAGGGTCCCTGGTGTTAACAGACGCACCAGAGAAGTTCTGAGGGTCCCTGGTGTTACCAGACGCACCAGAGGTTCTGAGGGCTCCTGGTGTTACCAGACGCACCAGAGAGGTTCTGAGGGTCCCTGGTGTTACCAGACGCACCAGAGGTTCTGAGGGCTCCTGGTGTTACCAGACGCACCAGAGGTTCTGAGGGCCCCTGGTGTTACCAGACGCACCGGAGAGGTTCTGAGGGTCCCTGGTGTTACCAGACGCACCAGAGGTTCTGAGGGCTCCTGGTGTTACCAGACGCACCGGAGAGGTTCTGAGGGCTCCTGGTGTTACCAGACGCACCAGAGAGGTTCTGAGGGTCCCTGGTGTTACCAGACGCACCAGAGGTTCTGAGGGCTCCTGGTGTTACCAGACGCACCGGAGAGGTTCTGAGGGCTCCTGGTGTTACCAGACGCACCAGAGAGGTTCTGAGGGCCCCTGGTGTTACCAGACGCACCGGAGAGGTTCTGAGGGCTCCTGGTGTTACCAGACGCACCGGAGAGGTTGAGGGCTCCTGGTGTTACCAGACGCACCAGAGGTTCTGAGGGCCCCTGGTGTTACCAGACGCACCAGAGAGGTTCTGAGGGCCCCTGGTGTTATTAGACGCCCCGGAGAGGTTCTGAGGGCTCCTGGTGTTACCAGACGCACCAGAGAGGTTCTGAGGGCCCCTGGTGTTATCAGACGCCCCGGAGAGGTTCTGAGGGCTCCTGGTGTTACCAGACGCACCAGAGAGGTTCTGACGGTCCCTGGTGTTACCAGACGCACCAGAGAGGTTCTGAGGGTCCCTGGTGTTACCAGACGCACCAGAGGTTCTGAGGGCTCCTGGTGTTACCAGAGGTTCTGAGGGTCCCTGGTGTTACCAGACGCACCAGAGAGGTTCTGAGGGCCCCTGGTGTTACCAGACGCCCCGGAGAGGTTCTGAGGGCCCCTGGTGTTACCAGACGACCCGGAGAGGTTCTGAGGGCCCCTGGTGTTACCAGACGACCCGGAGAGGTTCTGAGGGCTCCTGGTGTTACCAGACGCACCAGAGAGCCGGCCGTCAGACAGTCATTATTAATTGAATTACTGTCGTTATTGTTGTCAGCGTAAGTGGAGCTGGAAGCGGTTGGGGCGTCACCGTCTGGATATCTCCTGGAGCCCCTCCCTGGGCGGGGTGATGGGCCCTTATTGCTCTCAGCCGAGCCGTGACAAGGAATTTTATAATAACGATGAAAGGAAGTGTCGACCCGTTGTTGTGAGGTGTCGACCCGTTGTTGTGACGTGTCGACCTGTTGTTGTGACGTGTCGACCCGTTGTTGTGACGTGTCGACCCGTTGTTGTGACGTGTCGACCAGTTGTTGTGACGTGTCGAACAGTTGTTGTGACGTGTCGACCCGTTGTTGTGACGCGTCGACCCGTTGTTGTGAAGTGTCGACCCGTTGTTGTGAGGTGTCGACCCGTTGTTGTGACGTGTTGACCCGTTGTTGTGGCGTGTCGACCCGTTGTTGTGACGTGTCGACCCGTTGTTGTGACGTGTCGACCCGTTGTTGTGACGTGTCGACCCGTTGTTGTGACGTGTCGACCCGTTGTTGTGACGTGTCGACCCGTTGTTGTGACGTGTCGACCCGTTGTTGTGACGTGTCGAACAGTTGTTGTGACGTGTCGACCCGTTGTTGTGACGTGTCGACCCGTTGTTGTGACGTGTCGACCTGTTGTTGTGAGGTGTCGACCCGTTGTTGTGACGCGTCGACCCGTTGTTGTGAAGTGTCGACCCGTTGTTGTGACGTGTCGACCCGTTGTTGTGACGTGTCGACCCGTTGTTGTGACGTGTCGACCCGTTGTTGTGACGTGTTGACCCGTTGTTGTGACGTGTCGACCCGTTGTTGTGACGTGTCGACCCGTTGTTGTGACGTGCCGACCCGTTGTTGTGAGGTGTCGACCCGTTGTTGTGACGCGTCGACCCGTTGTTGTGACGTGTCGACCCGTTGTTGAGACGTGTCGACCCGTTATTGTGACGTGTCGACCCGTTGTTGTGACGTGTCGACCCGTTGTTGTGACGTGTCGACCCGTTGTTGTGACGTGTCGACCCGTTGTTGTGAGGTGTCGACCCGTTGTTGTGACGTGTCGACCCGTTGTTGTGACGCGTCGACCCGTTGTTGTGACGCGTCGACCCGTTGTTGTGACGTGTCGACCCGTTGTTGTGACGTGTCGACCCGTTGTTGTGACGTGTCGACCCGTTGTTGTGACGTGTCGACCCGTTGTTGTGACGTGTCGACCCGTTATTGTGACGTGTCGACCCGTTGTTGTGACGTGTCGACCCGTTGTTGTGACGTGTCGACCCGTTGTTGTGACGTGTCGACCCGTTATTGTGACGTGTCGACCCGTTGTTGTAAGGTGTCGACCCTTTGTTGTGACGTGTCGGTTAGGGACGGCCACAACTTAGAATAGAGTAAGGATTGGTTGGGGACAGGCGCAGCTTGGACGGGCATGCCCTCAGGACGGGAGGGAGACGGGCGCCTCTTGGACGAGCATAATCTGAGAACGGGTTCCAGCAACATGTAAAGTGTCTCTCATTCATAAACAATGAATCCGGATGCTTGACTGACGAACACTTGGCCAATATCTTAAGAACGTGTTATTCCCAAAGGGGCATCCGGTAACATTTTTCAACAAACAAATACACAGTGACATTCTCAAATACAAATTAGGATAGACTTAGGATGATTATAGGTAAAATTAATTTGAAAACTGTCCTACGAATATAAGACAGTAAATGAAGACATGTGTGTCTTCACATGAGACCTCCGAACACTTCCGGAACAAGTGCTTCACTGACGACTTGTGTTCGAACCACAACGCTGTAAATGCTTCACCCACGTACTACAAATAATCGCCAACAGAACCTAAACACCTAACCTAACCTATGCCTATATATGCGCAATATGCTAATATATTATAATATTAATTTATATTGGAGAACAAACAGTCAGAGCTATCAGAGCTCTGACTGGCTATCAGAGCTATCAATCAGTGCTTTAATATACTTACTAATCTCTTTTATCTCATTTTTTTCTTCAATGTATCTGTTATCATTTTATTAATTCTGCTAGAATTTACCTACTTAAAATTATCTGTTAGATTAAGGACCTGCCCGAAACGCTGCGCGTACTAGTGGCTTTACAAGATTGTAAATACTATGCTATGTATTCTCACAAACCCAATGTTCCTTCTAGTATATAAATAAATAAATAAATAAATAAATAAATAAATAACAGCATGTTAAAACTTATGACTGCGTCTGTGGGGTCGACCGCTGGATGGAATGGACTTGAGTCGAGGACGGGTTGGACGACCTCTGCTCGAATTGCAACTGTGCAAATACTTCACCCACGTACTACAAATACAAATAATTGCCAACAAAACCTAAGCACCAAACCAAACCCACGCCTAATTATACATAGAACCCTAATGTATAATAATAATATTAATTTACATATGAGAAAAGGGGCCAGATTCACGAAGCAGTTACGCAAGCACTTACGAACGTGTACATCTTTCCTCAATCTTTGACGGCTTTGGTTACATTTATTAAACAGTTTACAAGCATGAAAACTTGCCAATCAACTGTTGTTATTGTTATAAACATCCTCCTGGTGCTTCGGAGCTCATTAACTGTTTAATAATTGTAAACCAAGCCGCTAAAAATTGAAAAAAAAATGTGCAAGTGCTTGCGTAACTGCTTCGTGAATCTAGCATAGTTTGGCGACTGGATTAATAGGCACTTGGCCTTTGTTCATGAGAACGGGCTGTAAAACTGCTGAATGCGTGTTTGGGTCGGCCGGGGCATGCCATGAACACAGCCTGAGGACCGGTTGCAGCTACAAATACTCTCCATTATAAACAAATACCTAACTACTGGGAGCCGGTCGGCCGAGCGGACAGCACGCTGGACTCGTTATCCTGTGGTCCCGGGTTCGATCCAGGGGGCCGGTGAGAAGCAATGGGCAGAGTTTCTTTCACCCTATGCCCCTATTACCTAGCAGTAAAATAGGTACCTCGGTGTTAGTCAGCTATCACGGGCTGCTTCCTGGGGGTGGAGGCCTGGTCGAGGACCGGGCCGCGGGGACACTAAAGCCCCGAAATCATCTTAACTAACCTGACCTGATCTAACCAGACCTATGTTACCTGTTAAGTGACTTTTCTATGGTTAACAAGGCCACAAGTGGACCAGGATTTACTAAGCATTAAAGTGTCCACTAACGAGAAGTTATCTTTCTTCAATCATGGCGACTTTCTTTGCATTTATTAACACCTTGTGAGCGTGGACACGCTGCAAGGTCGTCGTGGCCTCTAGAGCGGGTGTTGTCAGTGCTGCAGTCACCCTCACACCGTCACCAACCTCGTCAAACGTGTAATAAATAGAGCCCAAGTCACCGCTACGACTGAGGAAGGATGTACAGGTTCAGCTATGTTCTCTCTCCCCTCCTCCTCCACCACCCCTGTATGTCCCCCCCCCCCCACCCGTTACACGCCTTGAGGGAGAAATTCTCTCCTTCCGTTGTTTCTTGCCACTTCCCCCCCTCCCTCTATCTCTCTCCCCCCATCCCCCCACCAGACCCCGCCACCTCCTCACCGTACTTGTGGTCAGCGCGGGAGTGCGTTCACCTGGGTGACGATGTCACCTGCTCAACTTTACTACCTCGCCGAATATTTCCACTTTTGAGGTCTGAAACTGTCCAGGAGACGCTAATGGCTTCTGACTACTATATTCCTTAATTGTGCTTGACGGCATCACTCTACCACTCAGTATGTATACACCAATTAATAAATAAATGTAAGTGTGTACTCCTCTGTTTGTGCTTTCAGGATTGAGCTTTCGCTCTTGGGCCCCACCTTTCTAGCCGTCGATTGTTTAATGTAAAGATTCCTGATCTATTTCCATATTACATTTGCTTTAAAAATTGTGAAAGGAGTTTGCTTTATCAACCCGTTCTTTTAGTTCATTCAATTTCCCGGCAACTCGTAAGGTAAATGAAAACTTTCTAACATCTTTATGACTCATCTGAGTCTCAAGCTTTCATCTATGCCCTCTTGTTCTATTGGTTCCATTGTAAACATTTTCTGTTTTTTTCCACTCTTTCAATCCCCTTAAATCGTTTATTCGTCTGTCATGTTTCCACCAAACCTCCCCCCCCCTCTCTCTGTCTCTCTCCTTTCTGTCTCTCTGTCTCTCTGTCTCTCTCTCTCTCTCTCTCTCTCTCTCTCTCTCTCTCTCTCTCTCTCTCTCTCTCTCTCTCTCTCTCTCTCTCTCTCTCTCTCTCTCTCTCTCTCTCTCTCTCTACCTCTCTCTCTCTCTCCCTCTCTCTCTCTCTCTCTCCCTCTCTCTCTCTCCCTCTCCCTCTCTCTCTCTCTCTCTCCTCTTACTTGCGTCGTCAGGTTTAATTCTTTCAGTCTCTCTTCATATCCCATGCCTCACAATTCTGGAACAAACCTCGTTGCAAACTTCTAAACCTTTTCGAGTTTCCTTGTGCTTTTTTAAGATGGGGAGTTCCACGATGGGGCAGCTTACTGGGTCATTAGTCGGTGTAAGTAATCTAAATGCCTCCTTATTCAGGATCCTGAAAATTGTTTTAACTTTTGTCTTTTAGAGAATGCTCCTGCCGTTATGTAATTTATATGAGCCTTTGGAGTTAGGTTTGGTATTATGTCCGCGTATCTTTTTCTCCAGTAGTTGCAGGGAGGTAGTTTCCCTTCATTGTGTACTGTTCTTGTCGTTTCCTGTCAAAATTTCCATCACCTTTTCCAAAAAGCCCAAAATTTCCAAAAGCCCCGAAATCATCTCAAGATAACCTTACACTTGGCTGTGTTGAAGGACGGTGGGGGGAAGGAAGGGGTCTCAAGAAGTGGTAATATTTGTTAAAGCATTTAACTTGGAGCGACCTTGACCAGCCTAAGGTCGGTCCTGTACCCCAGACCTGGCCTCCTGCAAAGTTGGGTGTTGCTATTCCCAAGCGTTTGGTCTCCCACTGTGGACAGACAACCGCAAAATAGACATACTGGGTATACATATATAAAATAATAAACCTGAATGCACACAGAAATCTCAATAGCGTGATGCATCAAATGAACAAATTCATAAGGGTCGTGACAAGGATTCGATGCTCTCGGACGTAGGTTCGAATCCTCGTCACGGCCCTTGTGGATTAGTTCATAAACCTGAATGGTACACAGGCTGCATTTTAAATACTTGATAATTCCAAACACGCTTGCTAGGGCCGTTTAGTTAGTTAAGTCAAGCAGTAGTAATACCTAGAATGTTGCCAACCTTACTGGATGATCAACTGATGTCCGGTTCTTCCTGCGTAGCAATGACGATAGCTGGAGTGACTGGCGTGACGTGATGTGACGTGGGCTGGATCGCAGGAGACTGCATTCCTGGGAGTGCATTTTGTTTTCTCTCAAGTGGTGGCGAAGCGAGAGGGCGTGGAGGACAAGGGCGGCCGCCCGCCACACCCGCTGACGGCAGGTCACCACTGTACGCTGGCACACCTCTCCTCTCTACCACGGCTCACACCTCGGAAACAAACCGTACTAACATGAAATATATGTTACAGAATAGAAGTATTAACAGGAAAACAGAAACAGCATAAAAGGAGCTGCCGTCTGTCGAAAGACGTGTTCCCCCGAGGAAGAGATCAAGCTCCCGTCA